CCCAATTAGATTTGTGCTTACTATGTAATCTGTTACACAAAAAAAATTGCCATGCATATCATATGATAAATGATCTACGTATACTCTACCCTTTATTAAAATTAATTGTAAAAGAATGTAAATTGATAATATCATATTAATTCTTTTTATTGCAAAAGGTGTTGACGAATTTTGAAAAATGCTTCCAATACATTTTGCCTTCCACTTGGTTCTACGATATCTAGACTACTTGCTAGACACACACCTTCTGGCCATCTTTTAATTATAATTAACTCCTTTTGTGGCAATCTTTAATCAAGTTCTTTTCAGTATTCGTTAGGGATTACGGCCTTGTAAAATGTAAAATACATAGAGACAACCCTGATGGCAAATATAATTTGATCCAAAATGATGCCAGTTTGATGTACAGTATGAAGCATGTTTTCGTTCGCATATGCAAGTATTTCTGCGGCCAATTGCATCTCCCCATAGCCTTTTGAAGGGATAAGGTTTTTATTTCTTATATGCTTATCCTGTTAAAAAAATTATTTGAGCCTACAAAAATAAAGACTTACAACCAATTAAAATACACAGACCTCTATTACAATCATAGAACTATTCTTTCTGTTAATAACAAATTCAGGTTTTGCTGTCATGTAAACTTCGTTTGCGATGTATAGTCTGCATCGTAGGTGCGGTCTAAATTTAGATATAATATAAATTTTAAAAAATTATTAAGTCATAAACAAAAGATATATCTTATAATTGCTTACCTAACTCTCAATGGATAGCAATGCAAGCCGACAATTTGAAATAGTAGATTATATACCAGCGTATCTGTTTTAGCTTCCTCTATACCTTCATCGGAATGTAAATTCTTGATAATTTCACGTAAGTCAATTAAAAATGCTTGAACCTGATGGTCTGAAATTTCCTTAAAGTTTTCGATATTAAATTTTGGGTTTAAGAGTTCTTTCTCACCGATATTTGGAAGAATGTATTCTTCCGGAAATTCAACGACTAAACAATAATCAAATTATAAATATTAGGTTCATTAAAGGATTTTTTTTTGCATAGTATAGTTCGTACCATCTACATTAGGAAGGATATCGCTTTTAAATGGGGTTGGTTGAAAGTCCACTTTTAATAATTGTAAATCTTTTAGATCGAAACCAGATGCAGTAGTGTTGATATTAGAAGGAAACCCTCGTTTCTTAAGTTTATCTCTGGCCAACCTTCGCGAACTTACAAGGTATTTATCGAATAATGTAGTAACAGATGAAAAAAAGACGATTTGTCTGAAAGTACATAATACAGGTAACCTTGCAACAGAATCAAGTAAAGAAGACATAGAAGACAGAAAAAATTAGCTGAAAAATTTTTCGGCCAGTAACTTTTTTGGCATAATAAATTCAATAAAAATTGATATAATACTGTAATATATACGTAATTTAAAATCAGGTGGCTAATATAAATAAAAAATTATGCACATTTCTTGTTGAATTTAAAAAATATGATATTTTCAAACCACATTCGCTACTATAAATTGGAATTCTTCCATTAATTGGAATGCTACCAGAATATTATGTTATGAAGATGCTAATAATACCACTCCAACTACTCTTGAGTTCCCCGATACTGAACCACAAACTTGTTTTGATATTCTGGATTCTAGCCTAGTACCACTCGTTGCTAATCCTCCACCACAAAATGCCACTCAATTCATTTTAAATATTACTTATGGCCCAAATTCAGATGGCCGTGGAATCTTCTTTATGAATGAAAATAGTTTTCAACCAAACTTTAGTAATTCTACATTAAATCAAGTGACTTCTGGCATTAGTCCACAAAGTTTACCTGCAAATCAGAATATAATCTCTTATGATATTGCTAATGCTGGTATTGAATTGGTTTTTATTAACAATATTCATCCTTTCCATTTGGTATATATTTATTTTTCATCTATAGTTATCGTCTATAGTTATCATCTATAATTATTAATTATAATTTTTAATTTCAATTTATATAGCACGGTCACTCTTTCTACATCATCAGAAGGGGTAATGGTACTACACCAGATCCATGCACTTATAATTTAGTTAATCCACCATATCGTAATATTGTAACGATACCACCAACTGGGTAAATTATCTTTTTATTTTTTTCTGAAATATAGGCAGGCAGTATCAGATATTACTACGTGATATTTGGTAATTGTCTTCATTTTTCTTCTTTTATATTATCATCATTCTAACTTCTTTTTCACATTAAATAGATGGTTAGTAATACGATTTGTCGCTGACAATCCATGTGTATGGGGTAGTACATTGTCATATAGAATGGCATGTTGAGATGGGTATGGTTGTAACGCTTGTTAAACGACTTAATGAATTAAAACAACTTCCTATACCAGACAGTGTTAAACAATTACTTTACAAAAATCTGTCAAAATTAAACTTGCTAAATATAAGAAATTTAACGATGCTGATAATGTACCGGTACTATTAAAATACAAATTTGTGCAAATATAAGCACATTATTAGCATTTTATTACTATATTTTAATTTTATAAATA